GGAGAAGAGAAGAGAAGGAATTATGTTGTGGTCATACCCCCAGTGGGAGTGATTTCTTGCTTTCTGTCTCTCTGTCTCTTTCTGTCTCTCCTGTGAGTGCACATGCCCTATAGAAAAATTCTCTACAAAAATAAAAGTTTCTGTTCCCTTCTTCCATGAGAAAGAAAGAAAGAGAAAGAAAGATAGAGAGATACCTCCCATAAGTTTTCACATTGACATTCACTCACAATCCCAGCCAGTCTTGGAGAGTGGGCATGCGTGTGCCCGGTGTGCTCAGAGAGGTTTCCACACGCAATCTCAGAGCTATGTCACTGTCTGGCTCCTCAACTCTTACTTTAGTGTGTGTGGAGAGAGAGAGAGAGAGACGAAGACATAAAGATAGAGAAAAAAATATCCATGTCCTGCATAATGAGAGTGTAGAAACCATTATGGTCCAGTAGGATTAAACACATCTGGCCTTTGGGTATTTGCTTTTCAGCACAACATTCTCACTGAAAGCAATCAGGCTTCCTTATAGAAATGACCAGTTGTAGATTTGAGGCAAGTTTAAGATCGCTTATTCTAGGGCCAGCAGGTGGTGTAGTGGTTTAGGTACTTGATTCCCTCATGCCTGACCATGGTTCGAGTCCTGGACCTGGCAGCTTGAAAATCACACTGGGCATGGGTGTGTTCATGCCCCAAATCCTAAGAGGCGAATGGAGGAGGAGGAACTGTGGTGTGGCGATCCCCCGGGAAAGTGAGGGGCGTGCTTTCTCATTTTCCCTCTCCCTGTGTCTTTCTTCAGCAAGTACATGTGCTCTAAGGCAAAAACCTAAAAATCAAACAAACAAACAAACAAATCTCTTGTTCCACCTGGAAATTGTATCAAGGAAATGCTAGAGACTAGTTGGGATCTTGTCAAAAGGATCCAGTTTAAACAGGCTCTCCCTAGCCAAGTTTGGGCAAATATGAACATTTATAAGAATAATGTTTGTCACTGATGGTGTCAGTAAACTATCTGAGTCCATGAAGAAACTCAAAATAGAAAAAGAAAAAGATAAGCTTATTTGTCACAGTGGAGGTTATTAGTACACCAGTGGAGGTTATTAGTTCCTTTTTCTGGAAATAAGTAATTAAAAGGGAATAATTAAATTTACCGTTTGTCAGGATAGGTAGGTTATGCTATAGTAACAACATCCTCACTCTCCTAGTGGCCTAAAACTAGAACGTTTATTTCTTACTTTTGCTACATTTTTCTCCTGGGTTCACAGGTGTTCTTTTTAACCTTTTCCCTTTCTTCCCGATAGAATATGTGTGCATGCACATGGGGGAGAGAGAGAGACTCCCCACAGGGTCTGATCACACCACAGTCCCCTCCCAGCCCATTCGATCTTGGGCAGTCTCACGTGCCTGGCTGTTTCAGGCTGACTGGGCTGGGTATCCGAGCTGTGGTCTCCATGCGGGATTCAGCTTCCCCACAGAGCCTTACAGCTGAACCACGGAACCAGCCCCGGCAGGGGTCTAGATCCCCATCATCCTCATGTAGGTATGCAAAGTAACAGAGACTCAGTAATTTACAACGTTGCTGCTCACTTTGGCTGTGGAAAGAAAGGTGCTAGAAAATATATCATATCTGCTCATATTTCACTGATCCACATGAGTGATACAGTCATGTCCAAATTTAGGAAATAATTTTCTCCTTTTCTCTTTTTCAGGGCCAAAGTAGAGTTTCTCTGTCTACTGATTGTGTGACTTGCTGTTGCTGATGGAATGTGGGTGGAAGTGATACCTGCTGGCCCCATGCAGAGGCTTCAAGAGGCATCTCCTACATGTACTCTCTTTTGTACTCAAATCACCTAGAAAAAGGGAGAGCAGACCTCCAAGAGCCATTGCTTCTTTATTCCAGGTTCTGGTTTGAGAGACGTGTGATGCCAATCTAGAGCCTGGAGGAAAGCCCAGAAGAGCCACTGCTGAGTCACAGCCAAATCACAGACCTGTGAGCAAGAAGTGTTTGTTGTTATAAACCACCAGGATTTTGGATTGTTTGTTACTGAAGCACAGGTTGACTAATACACCCCTCATGTACACAGAAGGAAAACAAAGAGAATATTGGCAAATAGCCCAAATGACTACCAGCTTGCCTTTTAAAGGAAGGCCTGAGTTGCAGAAGATTGCCAGCTAATAAATACAGAGGAAACGACGCAAGTACAAAGAAACATTTTGCCATCCTGAGATAATTGATTGAGGCAAACATCACCAATGAATTTAGCAACCATTAGATGAAAGATTATTAAGACATAGCATATTCGGATGAGGTCTCCGTAACACCCTGTAGGCTATTAACTCTTTGTACAGGGGAAGTGTCCTTCAAAGTACAGGGAGCTGACATCATCAAACTGCCTCGCTCAGAGTGGACACCTTGACATAGTGTGTCTCCTGACGTAATGCGACAGGAAGTCTTTGAAATAACCTTAAAATGTTTCTGCTGTGTTTAGTCAGACATTAGCACAGATTCCACTATAAAGGGAATATGGAGAACATAGGTACATGTTTAACAATGTAATGAGAAACAGCACATCAGGAATGAAATTTTATAAGGCTGCATTTTGAAACTCTTTCAAGTGTCATGAGGATTAAAAAGCAGTGTGTGTTTTGCTGTTTAAAGTTGACAAAGATATAAAGCAATTAAAGGCAGCGCATAAACCTTGATTGGATTCTAGTCTGAAAAAGGTAAATACAAAGGCATTTGCAGCTTACAAACGGTCTGGATATTGAGTGATATCAGGGTCTAGTTATTCTTTGGTATCTGCAGGGGATTGGTTCCAGAACCCCTGAGGAGCAACATCCACAGATGCTCAAGTCCCTTACACAGAATGGCACACGCCCTCCGCTAGATTTTAATCTGTCGATGACTTATGTAGGATACCTCCTACAACGCAAATGCTATGGAAACAGTTGTTTCACCATATTGTTTCTATTTGTATCATTTGTATTCTTGTCATTTATCTATGCATTTATTTTTCCAAATAATCTGGATTTGCAGTTGATTCATAGGTGTGGAGTCCCTGAGCCTGCCCGTGGATACAGAGGGCCGATCGTGCTTTCGATGATCTTTCTGTGTCTGATCAATGTATTGAGGCTAGAATATCTGTTAGCTTGAGAGATATATACTGACTTCTTGATGGCTAAACATCATGTCTAATCCAGTTTCAAATCATTCAGCAATAAAGTTATACAGAGACATGATCACATATAATACTTGTAATTAAGGCAAAATGTTAACATTTCTTCAATCTAAACGATGGTGTATGTGTGTTCATTACCTTATTCTTTCACGTTTATTTTGAGTTTCTTTCTTTCTTCTGAGAGAGGTACCCCCACAAGGTCTTCATGCTGCAGTTCACCCCCAGCTTGGCCAGTCTGGACCACAGGCTCTCTGTGCCCTGCACAGACAGGGAGGCCTCAGGACACGAACTGGAGACCTTCCCGTGTGAATCCTGCACCGCAGAGCCTCGCATCAGTGCTGTACCGCTGGTTAGCCCTCTTTTAAATTTAAATGTGAAATGTTCATAATAAAAACGTTGGAAATAAAGTGAAGCAAGATATTGCATGAGGGTGTGGGGAGTGGGTGTGTGTGAAAGTCAAACCTGTGCTCCAAATGTCATCCTGATCCAGAGGTCCAGCAAGAAGAATATGGCTTCAATTTGCTTTCTTTTTCTTCTTTTGAGTCATTTCATTCCACGGTTCTGAGCCTGAATGGTTATTCTTGACCTTCTGTATCTTTTCTATTTTTCCCTTGTATAAAGAACCATTCATTGATTTAGGAAAAGAGAGCAAGAATCACACTTTATTTGACTTGGGCCTAACCTAGAGAAACCAGATGTTACTGGATAACCTGGTACTTCTCAGTTTTAGGAAAACCATTATATATACAAAATGAAAGTGTCAAACTCTCCATATTACTATTTTTCTTATATTCCCTCTTCTTTTTTGTAGGAGAGTACATTTTTCTTCTTCTGTAAGGTTAATTCACCATTGCTCCAGAGGGCATGTTTCCATCAGGCCTCCAGGATTCTGATCTAATATTTTAGCCTCACTCTTATGTAATTTCTATTGACTCTTGGCCTTCAGCCTAATAGTCTCTCTCTCTTATGTGTGCATGCACGTGCATTTACACACACACACACACGTAACCTCTGTCTTAAAAATAATTTCTTTTTCTGCCACCTACACAGTCTCCCAAGATATATTGACCTTTCTCTGTTCTTCCTTTGACAACTAAATTTCTGCTAACTACCGTCTATACAAGCTATTGCCATTTTCTGGCCACTTACAATTCTCCTTCGTTTCTGAAACAACTCTCCCTGAAGTTATAACAAAAGCAGATTGATAATCAAACTCAATTTTCCATTCTCTGTACTCATCAAAAAAAAACAAGTGTAAAAAAAAATCGGTACCTTTTCTTATGGGTCCCTGTGGCATTTGAGGACCCATACCACAGTTTCGGAAAAATGCCTGAAATATCCAGTGACTAGAGAAGGCCTGGGCACACAAGTCTTTTCTAAGCATGATGAGTCACTTTACTGACTCTCTCCTGACAAACCTAAGGCCGTAATGGTTCTATTTACAAAGGCTTCTGCCTTTGCCAGGGTTAGTTTCCTTCTTCTTTTTTAAACGCTTTGTGCTCACGAAACTCTCTTCATTTCCATTCTGTTGGCTTTCACCCAGGCCCTCAACCCAGTGCCCTTCAAGTCTGTCTGGGCTGGTTTCTTAGCTTTTGCTTGAGTCCTTCCTGTTTCACTCTCTCTTGTTCCCTACTCTAAGTTGTGGATTCCCTTGAGCTATGGGAAACAAAATAAAGGAAGAGTTTTTATTTTGTGTTTTCATTTCTCTATGACAAAACTATCTTTGGCAGAGATTTCAGTCTGATAGGAAAACTGCTGGGGCTTGTCTGGAAAAGGAAACCGAATGTGCACACATGGGTGGGAGGAGTCTTCAAACCCTGTAGTAATTGTGCCTTTTCTTTCTAAGGGAGTTACTTCCCTTAAACAGCAGGGATTTGCTAAGTAAAAGTAGCCAGTGATACTTTTTCTTTGTTATCTCTCCAAACCTCTTCTTATCATGTCCTGCAGTTTTTTTAACGGTGAGCTCTGATAGAGGGTTCAACTCTGTTACAGTAAAGAACCATCCCTGAAGCTCTGGCTCAAGGAGGAGGCTGCTGTGGAAAGAGATTCCAGAGAGGTAAGGGCTGAGGGATGTTTCCTAGAGAAAGTTCTCGGATCCAGGACTAATCAGAAAACTAGGAGGAAATGGTAGTTATGGGTTTCTGTGGTAGAAAGCCTCATGTTCCATAAATTCCAGAAAAGAAAAATCTGTAGGTTGTCTGAGGGAAGAGAAGTCATCTTTTCTTTCACCACAACAGAGACTTTAACAAAAGGAAATGCATTTGGCTACAGCAAAAAAGAATATATTCTTCAGGGGGGTTGACCCAGACTGAGTCTGAAAGGAATTCTGATTTTCTGGGTGTGTTGGCCTTGCGGGTGTCTTATTGACATGAATTTATATTTAGAAGAGGGCTTTTGATTTCTGGCTGATGGAGAGAGAGGCTTAGGAGCTAGAAAGCAGTTCCTAGATAAAACAGAAGAACAATAGCATGACAAATGCCTATGATGTAATGTTAAGTTGACAATATCAGAGAACAAAATTATACTATACAGTATTATTGCCATTTAAAAAACACCCAGCAGACAAACTCGGATATTTAAGAAGTATGGGCTTTTACATTTTTTTCTATCATGCACTTTAATGTTTCTTTCATTTGGCCTGTTTGGTGCCAGGAAATTTATTTCTGTTCATTTTAGATTTTCCCATAGCCATGGATGACTTCCTAGAGTTTAGGAAATAAATTAAATTCCTATGCTAATTATTCTTCGAAATCTGCTGAGACCTCTTTTTTAGACCTATTGAATGGATAATAAATATTTCTAAGTATTCATCAGATCAAAATTGTTAATTGTGTTGGTCAACTCCTCTATATTTTCACTAAATTATTTTGGCTGCCTGAACTATAATTTATTGAGAGAAGTATGCAAGTACGCTGTAATCTCCCACTATCATAGTAGATTTGTCAATTTATTCCTGCAGGTCTATCAATTTTTGTTTATATCTGTTGAGTCCTATTTAATGAGGTGCATACCTGCTTAGAATTGGTATATGGCTTTGGTGATTTCAACGTTTAATCACTGAATAGAAACTCTGGCCTTAATGATGCTATTTGTCTTCAGGTCTTCTTTGACTAGTATGAATATAGCTATATTAACTGCATTTAAGTAAGTATTAGGCTGATGTATCTCTCCATTCTTTCTTTTTCAACCCATGGTCTTTTCATGCTTAGGGTGTGTCTTTTGAAAATAGCATAAGAATTGGAGTGTGCTTTAATACAATTTGACATTCTGTTTTAACTGGAAAGTTAAATTTATATGTGTGAGGAAAATGGATATTTTTTGAATGGGATGTTACCATCTTACTTATTTTTATATTAGATTTATTTCTATATTTGCTTTCTCATTTAAAAAAATCTTTATTAGGATCAATTTTTATATACATTTCTCTTGATTTTGTTTCCTAAGTCTTTTCTCATAAATTCTGTGGAGACAAATAATTTTTTAACAGTCTGGGAAAATTGCTTCCAGATATTACTTTTCTGTGTAAATATTTAGGACCATTGTCTCTCTTTCTCTCTCTCTCTCTCTCTCACTGTGAGGCAAAACTCGCATTAAATTTTGTAAAGCGAATGATTCTGTGGCATTTCGTACCTTCGCAGTGTTGTGCTAATATCAGTTTGCCTACTTCCTGAATATAACGTGGTCTCTTAATGCATTTTATTAGGCCCCATGCCAGGTGGTTTTAACCTTCTTTTAAAATGAGAATGCTTTACATACCCAGCTGTAGATGTGGACTGTCCTTGGCCTCACTCTCTGCAGTCAAAGAGCAGATTTATGTGCCCAGTCCGACCAGATCTTGCTTTGGTTGCTGTTGGGGCCTGGTGATTCACTAGTGTGAATATGTTCCCTGAAAATGTATGTGTTGAGCCATGGTAAAGGGAGTAAGAGGGTGAAAACATAATCTGATGATGTCAAAAGATGGGGCCTTTGGGAAAGATTAGGGAAACAAACAAAACATTTAATAGACATGAATAGACATGAAAATGAAAAGTTAATCAGCTGGTAATAACATGTATCATAATATATATGATTTGACTATGCATCCTGGTAATGCAGAGAAAAGCCATGTGGTATGTTGTAAAGATGTAGAGTGACTAAACGTAAATTTAAAACAAATCAAACCATAGAATCCCCACCACCATGAGCAAATCCAAATGGAAATAGTGGACTTTGGATGATGATCTGTCAATGCAGGTTCATTGACTTTTTTTTCCACACAGGAATATAATCTTTGTTTTATTTTAACTAGAAACAGCAGATAGCAGACTCACAAAGTATGATTTGATCTTTTTTCTTCTCTGTAATCAGGCTTCAACAACAACAACAACAACAACAACAATAATAATAATAACAAAAGGACACCCCACAGATATTTTGGTCACTATTATAATCCTTAAGGACACAAAAGCCAGCAGCATAAAGTAACATAAATGTAATGACTGAGAATTCTTGATGTGCCGAAAACATAGGTCAGTGCATTAAACTAACGGAAGTACTTCTCGGATGGTGGCGTTGACAGTGGGGAGGCTGTGCAGGTGTGTGAGCAGGGGATGGATGGGAGCACCCGGTATTTTCCACTCAACTTTCCTGCATACTTGAAACTATGCTAAAAAATAATCTCTCTGAAAAGTGATTTTAAAAAAGAATTAAGGTCATTAGGGGAGGGAGGCCCCCATGGTTGATTTCGGATGAGTGTGTAAAGAGGGGGAAGGAGACCTACTCGCGTGGAACTCCGGCTTTCCCCAACATTGTGATGAAGCCAGAAGAGCCCTGGACCCCGAGCTTCCAAACTGTGAGCCAAATAATCCTTTATTTTTAAAATTCATCCAGTTGTAGGTAGTTTTTGTTTGTTTGTTTGTTACTAGCCACAAAACAAACTAGAACATATAGCTTTACCTTACTAAGATGGCTTATCCTACTAACCTTTTATTGTAGATGCCAAATGTAAATTTTAAGGAAACCATCTGCAATAAGGGTTATTATTCCCCAGTACCACCTAATTCTTTTTTTTTTTTTAAGAAATTTTTGCAACAGGGCACGTGTACTCGTTGGAGAGACAGCATGAAATCACTTCCCAAAGGAGATGGCCATGCTGCAGTCTCTTCTCTTCCATTCTCTTCTTGGGATTTTGGGCATGCATCCACAAGTGCCCAGTGTGAATTTTAAGCCACTGGGTCTGGGACTCGAACTACGGTCAACTATGTGGGAGTCAGCAACATAGCCATTATGCTATCTGCTGGCCCCCAACCACTACCTTCTTCTGTCCCCACCTAAAGCCCATTGCAGGGAGCCTGTATCATGTCTTGTACAATCAATGGAATGATGTTGCATGGATCCAGCACTTCAACTGCACCCTACAATCTTCCCTGATGCTTTCAGACATCATAAATTCTGAACCTACAATGAAAGGAGGAAGATATGAACAGATGAATCTGAGCTACTAGACAATCAACATATATGTTCAGTGAAGGGTTTGATCTCAGTTTTCTGCTTGGTGCAGTCCTCATTTCACTAATCCATGGAGCAGGAATTGGAAGAGGAACACAACGTCTTCCTAACTTTACTTTTTGCTCTTATGTGAACAGGATTTAGGTAGTATATTTATTAAGGCTTCTGATCACTCTTATCAAGTTATTTCCATAAGCTTGTCACACTCTGGCTATACGGCAATAGGTTGACTGGTGATGCGAGGTTTTTTTTTTTATTTGTTTATATTTGTGGGGAGTGCAAATCTTTACACTTATCTTTGTCTTCGTAGATAATTCTCTGCAAATTTGGAAACGGCAGCACCAGAAACTAGGAGCTGGGCTACATTTTTTTTTTTGCTATAGGGCACATGCACTCGCCAGACAGACAGAGGGAGACAGATAGATAGAAAGCGAGAAATCACCTCCCGCCCCCCCAGGGGGGATGGCCATGCCACAATCCCTTCTCCTCCATTCTCCTCTTGGGATCTTGGGCACGCACGCACATGCGCCCGGCATGAGTTTAAGCCACCGGATCCGGGAAATGAACCACTGTCGACTACTTGGGAGTCCAGCGACATAGCCATTATGCTAACTGCTGGTCCCAGCTGGGCTACATTTTTAAATTGGATTTCTGCAAGGTTTTTTAATGGCACATTGTGGTCCATACACCCAGGTGTACCAAGGACACAGTGAGAGGATCCAAAGAAGCATAGAATGTCAGCCTACTGATGTCAGCCTATTGCTCATAAATGCTACTTCTTTTTTTTTTTTTTTTAAGATTTATTTTTCATTTGACCAGAAAAGAGAGAGAGAAAAAGAGAGAGGGAAAGTGGGAAAGCAAGATTCCAGGTTCAGGACTTAAACGATGGTCAGCCATGTGGGAGTTCAGCACCTTCACCACCACATCACCTGCTGGCCCCCCCCATAAATGGTACTTCTACTATAAAATAAGTTTTAGAAAAATTAGTTATAATCAAATTACTGCCCACCCCAAAATTTGGTGACAGTTCAGATTTGAATTCTCAAAAAAGTTGCTCTGTGATGGCTCCTGAGACAGGTTTGATGTAGAAATAGGGCCATCACCTTGCTCCGAGCCACCTGCCCAGAGATCAGGGATAGGCTGAAAAGAAGAGGTCAGGCCTTGTCCTAGCTCCTGTCCTGCAGACTGGCCACTGACAGCCACCCCCTATGGCTTACAATGTCACCTGCCTCCTGGGAGAACAAGTCCCTTGGAGTCCCAAAGCACTCTTTTTTGTGGCTTCTATAATATAATTTCCTTTCTCTTTTTCTCCATGGGGAATTCAGAGCAGCAGACTTCAGTGAATTTCCTGAGTCCTTAGAGTCTATTTGAAGTAACTTGGCAGAGCTTTGAGAAAAGTATCAGCTTAAATGGCTGGAATTCGATTTCTAGCTCCATTATTGATAAGCTCAATCCTTTTACTTCACTCCATTTATTTTTTCATTGACCTTATCACTACCTGACATATATGTCTATTTGTTTTTCCCATTAGAATAGAAATCCCAGTCAAGCCTGAAGTTTATTTGCCCT